GGCTTTTGCATCTGAACTCTTCATATATATATATTATTGAAAATTAAGTTAAAATGAATAAAAATTCATTTTGGAATAAATTTTGGGTGAAAAAAGACAGATGCATTCAATATACAAAATATAAAATACAATATACAATAAAATACAATATATAAAATAAAAATACAATATATAAAATACAGATTAAATTTAATAAAAAAAAAATATTTATATTTGTTTCATCAAGTCAGTTATTAAAGCGTCACAAGAGTTGGTGCATTAACTTTGACCGTCCTGCTTATTTGAACGATGAAATGGAAGTGGAATTAATAAAGTAAGAATACTCACAGTTCTTCTGATTGGTCCGTCAGAGACCGGCTCCGCCCCCAGACGTGGAGTATCCGCTGGACGGCCAGAAGATTCTGCATGTCAAGGGTTTCATCAGGTAAAAACCTTCACACGATCACATGACCTGCTTTCCCTGAAGGTCACATGTTTGAGCCGATAGTAACGAGCGGCAGGACTGACCCACACTAACCTGACGCTTCTCCAGAGACTCGGTGGCGGAGATGCTGTTCGAGCAGGATAATGAGGAGAAGTCCATCGCCACGCTGATGCTGGACACGCTGGTCAAGGTATGACGTCGGGATCCTCAAGTCAGTCCTGAAGAAAAGTTCCTTCTAATGACGAGTGCAATTGAAAAATCATGTCGATGTTTGAAGTGATGCTCCGAAAATGAATTTTTTAATGAAAAATAAAAATCGCTTATTCAGTCGATTCATCTTCACATTAATTTAATAATCAAACTGAGTTGCTCACTAGAGTTACTCTTCTGTGGAGTTTATGGACTGAAAGGCTATTCTGAGGATAATGTGTATTTTGTGTTTGTTTTCCCAGCATTCACCTTGTTGATTTGTTTCGTTTGTACCACACTAGTGTCCCATCGACACTCGCAAGGTTCTGTCGGAGAACTTGGTGATCATCGGCGGCACGGCCATGCTTCCCGGATTCCTGCCCCGCCTCCTGGCGGAGATCCGCTCGCTGGTGGAGAAGCCGAAGTACCGCGATGCCCTCGCGACCAAGAGCTTCCGCATCCACAGCCCGCCCGCTAAACCCAACTGCACCGCCTGGCTCGGAGGTGAGCGCCAATACGGTTTTGGGTTTCACTGTTTTTGATGGTCCCTTTAAAGGAGTAGTTCACTTTTGAAAAAACGTTTGCTGATAATTTACTCGCCCCCGTGTCATCCAAGATGTCCATGTCTTTCTTTCCTCAGTCGAAAAGAAATGAAGGTTTTTAATGAAATCATTCCAGGATTTTTCTCCATATAATGGACTTCAATGGGGACCAAACGGTTCACGGTCCAAAAGACAGTTTCAGTGCAAACTGTTCAAAGGGCTTTAAACGAAACCAGACGATGAATAAGGGTCTTATCAAGCGAAACGATCGGGTATTTCAAAAATGTAACTTTTCTAAGGACAAATGCTAGCCTTGCTCTATTCTGTGAGGCGCGTTTGCAACGTCACGTAATACGTAATTACGTTCAAAAGGTCACGGGCGACGTAGCCGAAAGTACAGAATCAAAATCGTCCGACATCGTTGTTTTACCTTTTAATTCCTTTTTTTGTAAACGGCGTTTGAGTTAGTTTGCACGTTCAACCTATGCGTTCAACTTGTAAACACTGACTCTGTACTTCCGGCTACGTCGCCCGTGACCTTTTGAACGTAATTACGTATTACGTGACGTTACAAACGCGCCTCACAGAATAGAGCAAGGCTAGCATTTGTCCTTAGAAAAGTTACATTTTTGGAATAAGCTTTGAAATAACCGATCGTTTCGCATGATAAGACCCTTATTCATCGTCTGGTGTCGTTTAAAGCCCTTTGAACAGTTTGCACTGAAACTCTCGTTTGGACCTTGAACCGTTTGGTCCCCATTGAAGTCCATTATATGGAGAAAATCCTGGAATGTTTTCATCAAAAACCTTCATTTCTTTTCGACTGAGGAAAGAAAGACACGGACATCTTGGATGACACGGGGGCGAGTAAATTATCAGCAAAAGTTTTTTCAAAAGTGAACTACTCCTTTAAAGGTGCAGTCTGTAAGAACTAGTGGTGTAAATAGGTACTGCAGTCGAACTCAACACATCAGAGTTCGCCGTTTCTCCCACCGCCTCAGACACGGGTCGCCAGACGCGTCAGGAATGAGCGCAACGCGAAAATTGGCAACGTGCATTATCACAGACCAAAACAATAACACACATTCCAGCCTGGAAATAAAAAAATAAGCAGAGGATACACACGTTGTAGACCCGCCTTTGGGCTTATATTACTAATGCTCTCTTTAAATAACTATAATACTGCGCCACGGACTTTAGCCCTGGTCAACGGCTCGGTCTATTTCAGTTCCTCATAACAGCAGCGCTCCTGAACACACACTCGCTCTCACACCAGCAGCCCATGGGCACAGATGGGCACAAACGCATGTCGCGGGATGTGAAAATGAAAACTGCGTCGGGCTGAAACTAGCGAAACGCACTTGCGCCGCACCGAGTGTGTGTGAAGGGGGCCAGTGTGTTACACAGTTTTCTGCCATTCACTCAGGGTTGCTCTGTTTCTTCCCGTGTAGGTGCTGTATTTGGAGCACTGCAGGACATTTTAGGCAGTCGCTCGGTGTCCAGAGACTACTATAACCAGACGGGCCGCGTCCCAGACTGGTGCTGTCTCAGCGCTCCTCCACCCGACTCCGTCTACGAGGCGGGCAAGACGCCTCCGCCGCTCATGAAGAGGGCCTTCTCCACGGAGAAATGAAGCGTCACATGGTCCTGACGGGAACACACCATAACACACACACACTGCCGACCGTTCAAGAGATTTGGGTCGGTGAGATTTTTAATGTTTTTAAAAGAAGTCTCCTCTGCTCACCAAAGCTGCATTAATTTGATTAAAAACAGTGAAATATTATTCTAATGTAAATCATCAGTTTTCTATGTGAATATCCAGTAAAGTGTAATTTATTCCTGAATTTATCGTCATTACTCCAGACTTCAGTGTCACATGACCCTTCACAAATCACTCTAATATGAGGATCAAGAAACATGTGATTGATGTTGGAAATTGGATTCTTTGATGAATAGAAAGTTTAAGAACCGCATGTATCTGAAATATGATATTTTGTAACATTATAAATGTCTTTACTGTAAATTTTATCAATTTAATTCATCCTTGATGAGTAAAAGTATTGATTTCTTTTATTTATTTTCCCCCATAAATGTAATATAAGTTCTTACTGAATCCAGACGGTAGTGTTTACTGTTACGTACGCTTCTGTTTCAGATAAATGCGGTTCTTAAACTTCCTATTCATCAAAGAATCCTGAAATAAAAATGTAAATAACTGTTTTGAACACTGATGATAATCTTGATCCTCATGTTAGAGTGATTTGTGAAGGATCATGTGACACTGAAGTCTGGAGTAATGATGATAAATTCAGGAATAAATTACACTTTACTGTATATTCACATTTTTTAATCAAATGAATCACTCGATGAGCAGAAGAGACTTCTTTTAAAAAATATAAAAAATCTTGCCGATCCAGACCTGTTGAGCGGCGGTGTGTTTGATTGAGTCCTGGTCTGTAATCGTCTAAAGCAGGGATTCTCAACACTGGCCTTCGAGATCAGCAAACCTTGAGCGACTCGTAATCCTGGAGACCCCGAGGAGCCTGTACAGCCGTTCGATCAGAGATGGAGCAAAATCTGCAGGAAAGTGGAGCTTGAGGGCCAGAGCTGAGAAACGCTGGTCTAAAGTCGGCCATGTTAGTTCAGCTTTACTTGATTTTTAATAGTAGGTGCAACTAAACCCATCACTGCGGCTTCTGCTTCACTCATGACAGATCTTTATCGACTGTTTCCAGAGCATGACATTTATCCAACCATGTCAGTTCTTTGTCAGTAGTGACATAAAGCTACTTTTTATTATTATGTAAATGTCTGCTTGTTCCTGCACCAATTAAAGACGCAACACGGAAGGCAACTTGACCATTCTGTCTAAAATGCAATCATTTCAATTATATTTAACAACCAGTTTGAAGAGCTGAATATGTTGAAAATGTTACTGTATTTATTAGGTTTGTGAAATAAACATTTAAAAATGTGGTCTTCTATTATATTTGTACATTTAAGTGTTATATGTCATTACCTTAAGACTTCATCATGGTAACTCTAATTTCTCCTTGAACCAATCAATTTTCCTAGAGACATTTTGTGGAATTAGTTTTGAGAATGTGTAGGACGGTGGCCAGTTGCTTATACTGCTTAGCTCTTAAAGTCACCCAGTGGTCAATAACTGCATCCCTAATGGACTTTATGCACGGCGGTATTTCCGGTGAAGCATTAGGGATGCTCGATAACTTCCGCCGATCGTTGAGTCCAATGCAATACCGAGAATTTATTGAATTTTATACTCCATGGTTATACTAACGAAAGTCACAAAAACAGATAAAACAGACACCCCGCGTTGTGTTTATGCTTCTTTTTAAAATTATATTAAATAAATATAACTATATATAAAATTACATCTAAACGTAGGCTATGTACGTTTCATTTCAAAGACTGGAGGACAGTAAATTTTGAAGACTCTGCCATAATCCCGTTTTCCTCGGTTTTCCTCCGCTTTAATCTCCACAACCGGAAATGGACGAGCATCCTTACGTCAAATGCGGAATTTATGCGTGCATATAGCCCATCACAGCGGTGTGTGTTCACTGTTCAAAAGGGTGGAAAAACAAGTAAAAATGTAATCACCTAATTACAACATAAACTCCCACTCTGGAGTGCGTTTCCCGAAAGCATCGTTAGCCAACTATGGTCGCAAGTTCCGTCGTTGCCAATAGAGTTCAATGGATATTGCGAACTTGCGACCATAGTTGGCTAACGATGCTTTCGGGAAACGCACCCGTGCAAGTCTGGTGAATCATGACTACTAATGAAGAGGGAGGGATTATCATTAATTACCCAGAGTCTGTAGAGTACAAAAAGACCAAAGGGTAGCATCTCAGCAGTGTGACTAGCTGTTTGGACAATGGCAGGAAGTTGGCGTGTTCAGTCTCTGGCACTTTGTGTTTGGCTCTGTGTGTTCTGTCATGCTGTTCCCAAGTGGAGTAATCTGCCCCAAAGTCCTCAAGCTCTGATGTTCCAGCAAACTGACCAGCGGTTTCAGAAGCCAGTTCAACAGCAAGCTAGTCAACAGTTTCCTCAGTCCGTTCAACAACAAGCAGGTCAACAGTTTCCTCAGTCCGTTCAACAACAAGCTAGTCAACAAGCTAGTCACCAGTTTCCTCAGTCCGTTCAACAAGCTAGTCAACAGTTTCCTCAGTTCGTTCAACAACAAGCAGGTCAACAGTTTCCTCAGTCCGTTCAACAACAAGCTAGTCAACAAGCTAGTCACCAGTTTCCTCAGTCCGTTCAACAAGCTAGTCAACAGTTTCCTCAGTTAGTTCAACAACAAGCTAGTCAACAGTTTCCTCAGTTCGTTCAACAACAAGCAGGTCAACAGTTTCCTCAGTCCGTTCAACAACAAGCTAGTCAACAGTTTCCTCAGTTCGTTCAACAACAAGCAGGTCAACAGTTTCCTCAGTCCGTTCAACAACAAGCTAGTCAACAAGCTAGTCACCAGTTTCCTCAGTTAGTTCAACAACAAGCAGGTCAACAGTTTCCTCAGTCCGTTCAACAACAAGCTAGTCAACAAGCTAGTCACCAGTTTCCTCAGTCCGTTCAACAAGCTAGTCAACAGTTTCCTCAGTTCGTTCAACAACAAGCAGGTCAACAGTTTCCTCAGTCCGTTCAACAACAAGCTAGTCAACAAGCTAGTCACCAGTTTCCTCAGTCCGTTCAACAAGCTAGTCAACAGTTTCCTCAGTTAGTTCAACAACAAGCTAGTCAACAGTTTCCTCAGTTCGTTCAACAACAAGCAGGTCAACAGTTTCCTCAGTCCGTTCAACAACAAGCTAGTCAACAGTTTCCTCAGTTCGTTCAACAACAAGCAGGTCAACAGTTTCCTCAGTCCGTTCAACAACAAGCAGGTCAACAGTTTCCTCAGTCCGTTCAACAACAAGCTAGTCAACAAGCTAGTCACCAGTTTCCTCAGTTAGTTCAACAACAAGCAGGTCAACAGTTTCCTCAGTCCGTTCAACAACAAGCTAGTCAACAAGCTAGTCACCAGTTTCCTCAGTCCGTTCAACAAGCTAGTCAACAGTTTCCTCAGTTCGTTCAACAACAAGCAGGTCAACAGTTTCCTCAGTCCGTTCAACAACAAGCTAGTCAACAAGCTAGTCACCAGTTTCCTCAGTCCGTTCAACAAGCTAGTCAACAGTTTCCTCAGTTAGTTCAACAACAAGCTAGTCAACAGTTTCCTCAGTTCGTTCAACAACAAGCAGGTCAACAGTTTCCTCAGTCCGTTCAACAACAAGCTAGTCAACAGTTTCCTCAGTTCGTTCAACAACAAGCAGGTCAACAGTTTCCTCAGTCCGTTCAACAACAAGCAGGTCAACAGTTTCCTCAGTCCGTTCAACAACAAGCTAGTCAACAAGCTAGTCAACAGTTTCCTCAGCAGTTTCAGCCAGTGGCAAAGGCAGAGCCCGTTGACAAATGTGCTGTGGCTGATTATGAGCAGATCCAATGTGGACCACCTGGTATCAGTGGTGCTGAGTGTGCAGCTATTAACTGCTGCTTTAACGGACAGCAGTGTTACTATGGGAAGGCCGGTAAGAGTGTAGAGTCAATGTAAAGGTTTTTCTTGTTAAACCGATCCTCATCAATAACCAGCTCTTGTGCCTTGTTCCAGTGACTGTCCAGTGTATAAGAGATGGTCAGTTTGTGGTTGTGGTGGCTAGAGATGTCACTCTGCCTCGTTTGAGCCTGGATTCAGTCCGTCTCCTGGGTGGAAATGATCCAGCTTGCAGTCCTGTGGGATCCACACCTTTCTTTGCCATATACCAGTTCCCCGTCACTGCGTGCGGCACGAGCATGATGGTGAGTAGCTGCTTGTGGTTTTGTTCTGCATGGCTTCGAATGGATTGGATGCCAACAGTGTTATGATTTGCAGGAGGACGGTGGGTATGTGGTGTATGAAAACAGAATGACCTCCTCGTATGAAGTGGGTATCGGACCACTTGGTTCCATCACAAGGGACAGCCATTTTGAGTAAGAGATGTATGCTTTCTCATAAATTTGAATCCATGGCAAATGCTACAAGCTCACTGTTTGTTTTCCAGGCTTCTCTTCCAGTGTAGGTACTCTGGTACTTCTGTGGAAGCTCTGGTTGTGGAGGTCAACACTGTTCCTCCACCTCCACCAGTAGCTGCTCCTGGACCCCTCAGGGTGGAGCTTAGACTCGCAAATGGTCAGTGTTTCACCAAAGGCTGTGCTGAAGGTAAGGGTTTGTCCCAAGTATGCCTAAAGCCTTTCTAAAGCTCCAGTTTCTAGTTAAACCCTGCATTTTTTTTCCTCAGGGGACGAGGCGTACACGTCCTACTACAGTGATTCTGATTATCCAGTTACAAAAGTCCTGCGGGAGCCTGTGTTTGTTGAGGTGCGCGTTTTGGAGAGGACCGACCCCAACATTGTCTTGATGCTGGGACATTGCTGGGCGACGTCAACCCCCAGTCCACTCAGTCTACCCCAATGGGACCTTCTGGTTGATGGGTGAGTAAGGCCAGTCTTTGTCCATCTAGTGTGCTGTAAGGAGTTTCTGATTCCCTCTTTGCCTTTCAGATGCCCTTACCAGGATGATCGTTACCTGACCACATTGGTTCCAGTGAGTGGCTCGTCTGGTTTTCAGTTCCCAACCCACTACAAGCGCTTTATTGTGAAGATGTTCACATTTGTTGATCCATCATCACTGGCTCCTCTGCAGGAAACCGTATGCTCCGCAGCCTTACCTCAACCCTTAATATTAGTACTTTGTATAGTGAATTCTCTGGCTAAACCCTTTTCCCCATCTGTTAGATCTTCATCCACTGTAGTACAGCAGTGTGCCATCCCTCCTCTGGCTCCTGTGAGCAAAGCTGCACTAGGAAACGTGAGTGATTGCTGTAAGTTGACTTCAGGAACCGAGAACTTATTTAAATGCCCCTCATGCTTCTACCACTTTTTACAGGAAGAGACACTCCCATCAAGACCATCTCTAGTGGGCAAACTGTGGTGTCTAGTGGAGAAGTTAACCTGGTCAAGTGAATTTTAGTGTTTTAATAAACTTCATGAAACTCAACATGTTTTAAAGTCTTTGGTATTTGTTTCAGACTGGAGTTGGTTGTTTCATGACTGACTGTTCTCAGTTTGACTACTAGAGCTGCACTACTAAGCCTTTTTCTTTTGTGCATTGAGATTCTTGACCCAAACAAGCTAAGTTTCTGCCTAAGCCATTTAACTTTACAATTTGCCAAGTTCTAGTTGTTAACTTGGGGCCCTGTTCATGTTTTTCATATCAAATGAAGGTTTTAGCTACTGGCTTTTTGAGGCTTTACATGGCTGGACTAGCATAACTGCATATCAATACCAAACCGACCCCAACGAACTAGCGCTGATGAAAGCTGACTTGTCGCCTCTCGTCAGTAAGCTGCACTTGAACACACAGAGAATTGCAGCCGACTGTCAGCTAGTGTGCATTCTGTGCCTGCGTGTAATGAGCGAACTGTATTTCTGCATATTTGTCTTTCAAAAAGGAGAACCGACGCTGCCGGCTGCAGATAGCAGCTACACATAACGTAAACAAAGTGGCGCGTGCATATCGCATATCAATCCTGCTAAACATTTTCTTTATTCCATTCCGCTCATGTTAATATTGAAATATTTGCCAAGGAACACTCAGGTAAGAAGATGTAATACAAGAACAGCCTTTTTACCGTTTTTACTTCTTTGCTTGCTGTTTTGCTGTTATCCACAAGTTTCCGAGGGGCGCTCATGTAAAAAATAAAGTGGGTGAAACTTCCGGTGACGCGGCGGAAGTAGCATTCCAATGGTATTTTGTGTGTTAGTTAGCGAAGAGGCTAGCTGTTTTTCGGAGAATTATTTTACTATTTAAAGACGCAAATCTTTATGAGAGATGTCGTTCCGGCGCTCAGGGACAACATGTGCTGTTCGCGGTTGTATGTATAACCGGACTAAACTAATTCAGTGGCTTAAACGGGATTGTTTTGAACATAAGCTGAAAACGAAATCACAGTGACAATCACCAACGACTGTAGTTTCCATCAACCTCCCAAAAGACAACGAATCATCCTGTATACATTTGTTTAAAATCTTAATATTCCATAAACTCTATCAGCATGTGTTTGGCTGTTCGCTACTGATGTTACACCTAAACTCAGGATCAAAGCCGGTGGTGACAGAATACCAAATGTGCCAGTTAATGTATTCAAGTAGCACATTGATTTATAATTTTGAATAAACTCCAAAGCACAATGACTAGTGTATTTTTTATTTTAATTGTTTGTCAGCTCGCACAACTGTCTGTCACCATGCCTTGATGAGTATTGATTATTAATAATGTTATTATAATACTCCCAATCAACTACTGCGGAGGGTAAAGGTACTGTTATTTCACCCTTTTTAATTTCGTTGAGGTGTTCCCACATCGTTAGCTAGTTTGGATCGCTATAACTTGAATGACTGTTACTGAATGAACGAGTGTCAAGCATGTCAAGTAGCGCTTTGTTTACTTCAAACCGGAAGTCGCGCCCACTTTTGACGCAAGGCCTCACGGGGCGTAGGAAACTTGTGGATTCTCGTGCACTGACTCTTTCACAAAGCTGAACAGCCAATCAGAGTTCTCTCTTTCCCCAACGGCCCGACGCCGATTCAACATGTCGAATCGCGCGAAACAAAGCCGACGAGGACTATTTTCAGCCAACGGCTCGGAACCGTGAGTATCACACCGAGGAAACTTAGTTGGCCAACGCTCAAAATCTGCCAAACCGTCGGCTTGGTGTGTTCCGGGCTTTAGTTCACTTGTTGGCTTTTTGTAATGCTTTTTTTGTTTTTTCTTTTGTCGTAAGTATGAGTCGACTCGACTAGTCGGCTGTGAGGTTCTAACGACGATCACCAGTGACCACTAGAGATTCACCCGTTGTAAAATGCAAAAAAAAAAATTGGACCGAGTTTGGAAAAAGAGACTGCAACGGCCCATTTTAAAGATAAAAATCTGAAGGGGATTAAATGTAGTTTCGCAATGCGAATGTTAATATTATTTGAGAACAAAGTATAATTTACACGTTTGACGTGATATGATAAAATTTAATCAGCTAGGTTTACTGCAATGTCTTTTTTCAGAACGTTGGTCAGAAAACAAAAATGGATTCTTCTTACTTGTTCCACTTAGGGTGAAAGGGACTGCAGGTTTAACATGAACTAATAATGAACAGCATTTATATATTGTTCTTCATACTTTATTAGAATCAATCAACTTGCATAACCAACATAACTAACAAGATGAACAAATAGTAGGCTACCAATGTATTGTTCATGGTGAGTTCGTGTTAGTTAATACGTAAATGTTCCAAAATAACCTTTTTATATTATCTATCTATCCTATTTATACGACAAAAATAGTTTTTGCGTGATAGATACGCAGTTTATGGTGTTAATAAACGCACTCCGCACCACTAATCTAACCCATAGACAGTAGGCAATAGGATTTATGGTGCGTAAATGCAGGCAAAACACATGTTTGGCCAATAAAATAAATTGTCACGATAAATAAAATTCGTGGTATAGATACGCACTTTCATGGGCTTCTGTTGAGTGAGGGACACAGTCAGTGCATCTTTCAAACTCGATGACCCAATTCTGCAGCATTACTCACGCATACAGTGCATGACTCACTCCAAACAAAGACCGGGAACGGGGAAACTTTCCCAAAAAGGAAAACGCCGTTTGGGATTTTTAGACACCTGTAGATTATTTGATGGAGTTACTTAGATTATTTTTGCGGTAATTAAAAGATGGTTCAGTGTATGCTCCAGTAAGATGTGTGGCTCCGGATCATTCTCCGCGCGCTCGACATGAAGAGATTCATCGGTGTGTCGCAGCTTTCCGCGTTCCTGCTCTACATTCCTCTTCTTCAGGTAACTCGCATTCCTCTTCCTCAGGTAACTGATGTCCCTTACGTAAAATAAATAATAGGCCTGTATATAAATAATATCAATATGTGACCCTGGACCACAAAACCAGTATCAGGCGGGTCATTATTTTTTATTTTATTTTTTGAAATCTGAAAGCTGAATAAATAAGATTTGCATTGATTTGTTGGGACAGGACAATTTTTACAATACAGGCTATTTAAAAATCTGGAATCTAAGGGTGCAAAAAAATGTAAACAATGAGAAAATCGCCTTTAAAGTTGTGCATTTATGTTCGGGATTTTACTGAATTCACTCACAAAAATATATTTTTATATATTTACAGTAGGAAATTTACAAAATATCTTAATGGAACATGATCTTTACTTAATATCCTAATGATTCAGGGTCACTTATGATCGTTTAAACAGTTTAAGATGCTTCAAGAATGTTCCTGATGCTTAATTTCTGCAAATAAATGTAACTGGTTATATTTGTCAGTGATCATGGCTAATATCAAGTGATCATTATGTAAAGGTGTTACATTTATGATAAACTATGAGTTTATGGAAGTCAAATAGCAAAAGGAAATCTCTGTGTTAAATGTAATCTGATCTGAGAAATGATGAGGATGTAAACAAGTCAAACCAACTTGTATCCAGCGTTCGCTCCGGTCCGCTAATCTGCATCTGTAGTGTTTTGGGTTTGTAGTCCATAATCTGCATCAAACATGCACTGCAAAAAGTATTATGTTCTTCCTCAGTGTTTCTGTCTTGTTTTGCAGCACAAACATCTAAACATTGATTCAAGATACATTTAGAGAAGCACAATGAAGATATTAAGTGTTTTCTGAGAAATTAAGTGAGTTTAAAACAAGAACAAATATCTGCCAATGTGGTCAGAAAAATAAACATCTTTTCACGAATTAAATACATTTTTTTTCTTCATTGGAAGCTATTTTTCTGGTTTAATCAGTTTGATGATTTATTTCAGAAAACAATGCTTCAGTGGGTAAATGTATCTAAATTTGAGTATTTTTTAGATATCTTTAATGTAAAACGAGACAAAAATACTAATCACGTGCAGGAAAGTTTAAAACGTTTGTGTGCATGACTTAGAAAAGCCCAGACATTTGATTTGTGCACTATAGTCTTCTGAAATCGACTCAGATTAAGTGTTTATTCCTTTCCATTTGGATGAAGATATGAAGTACAACTTTCATTAATGTTTGGTAAAGGTTATGTCAATGTTAAGATAAATTGCTCTTCAAATAACATCAATAGAATATTAAACACGTGATCACCGTTTTCACAGATTCACGTTTTTGAAGTTTACGCGTACTTGATTACATTTTTCAATACTTTCCAAAACTTGCACTTGAATCCTGTTTGAGAGTGTGTGTTCTCGAGCCCACAGCCGGAACACATTACAGTTTCTGTGTCGTGTTAGCGGCCGCTGAGTTAATCACTAATGATCTTTACAACGGAAGTGAATCAATCAGAACTAACTTTATCTGGACGATAACTTTATTCTAGATCTGCTGTAAAGCCGAAACAGTCTCTGTGACTGTAATCTATTGCTGTTACAGCGATGAACGAGACTGGATTATTGATGATAGTTTAATGGTCTGGGTCAGTGTGAGTGAGTGAGGAGAGCTTCATTACTGCACGTCTCCTGGCTAAAGTTAGTGTCCCTCTGTTCCTGAGATCTGAGACCCGTGTTCCCTCATTACTCGCCCGCGGACGGACATCAGGGCCCTTCAGCTGCGGTCCAGCGCACAAACACAACGGGACGGGCTCATTCCGCGGCTCCTGCGGGACGTGTGGCGACAGACCCAGTTTACGCTCCGAGTCTGAAACTGGCGGATGAAAGAATAATAAAGCCACAGTTCACATGTCTTGGAAACTCGTGGCATTTTTTTAAAAACAAACACTAGCTTTGCTTTTGCATTTAATACCACTCTTTATTTCTTCTTGTAGTAGAAAAAATAAAAAAATTATAAAAAAAATGTAAAAAAATCTGCACAAAGTCATCATGCACAATGTTCACATTTAGTCTTATTGCAAAACATTTAATTGTAGCTGAATATCATGAACAAAAATCAACAGGCTAAAGAACACTTACACAAGGAAGTCTGAAATAAACTAAGATTTAAATAAACAGTTTTTTAAGATTTTCAGGTTACAAAGTTACAATAGTTACAAAAGTGATTCAGTGAAGAACGAGTGGATTCTCAGTCTTCTGTTGTGTGATTAGTGTTATAATAGAGAATATGAGCGCTGTCACTTTAAGAGCTGCACGGGTCCAATACACACACACACACACTCGAATGGTTTAAAGTCATATTGAAATGCTCACAAAGGAATCGATAAGAGGAATCAAAATTTGTATTTTAGATCAAGTATCCGTATTCAATTCCAGAATTGGAATCCATTTTTACATCTATTAATGCATTTTTCAAATAAAAAAATGTAGATGGTTAATATTATTTAATGGGCCTGAGCTGACTTGAACTGACAATGAAAAGTTGTATTTCTATTAGCTAACATTAACATACTACATTAATAATTTGTTGATAATTGCATTTGTTACAATGTTAATACTTGAATACTCATTTTTATGTTCATGCATTTACCTTTTTCTTTAAACAGGTTTCTACTATTCTGGCCAATTCCCACTCCAAAGGTAACATAATTTTATATTAGGCTATTCATGTACTGTAATTTTTATACATTTTTATACATTTTTTTTTAAAAATTATAAAATTAAAGGGTTAGTTCACCCAAAAATGAAAATTCTGTCAGTATTTACTCACCCTCATGTTGTTCCAAACCTCTATGTGTTTATTTGTTCTGCTGAACACAAAGGAAGATATTTGGAAGAATGTTTTAATCAAACAGATCTCATTCCCCATTGACTACCATAGTATGTATTTTTTCCAAAATAATATGCTTTATCTAATCAATCAAATTGTGGCAACATATTACAAGCAATATTATTAATTAAATTGTACAAATTAGAATTAATTAGAATGTTAATTTGATTAACTATTACTCAATTCTAATTTGTTCAATTTAATAAATAATATTGCTTGTAATCTGTTGCCACAATTTTATTGATTTGATAAATCATATTCATTTTTACAGTGTATGGGGAATGAGATCTGTTGGATTAAAACATTCTTCCAAATATCTTCCTTTGTGTTCAGCAGAACAAATAAACACATAGAGGTTTGGAACAACACTAAATACTGACAGAATTTTCATTTTTGGGTGAACTAACCCTTTAACATTCACTACAAATGTATTGATAACTGGATGATATTCTAAATACTTTTTAAGTGTTGATCTGAAAATATAAGCATTTATGCAGCTTTTTTCATGTGAGTTGTCGCAGTGAGCAGTTGTGTTGTAGTTGCAGTAATGCTGATGTCCGTGTTGCAGTGATGCTGTTCCCGGAGGCCTGGAGCCGCGGTCTGTGTCACTCCACGGAGCGGATGGTGGAGGTGGATCAGGAGTATCCTGGAGGCGTGGAGCACATATACAGTCCCGGCTGCGTCCCATTGCTGCGTTGCTCCGGCTGCTGCAACGACGAGAAGCTGACCTGCTTTCCCATCCGCACGCGCAACATCACCATCCAGGCAAGACCTCCCAGCAAGCAATAGCCATCATTTCTCCATAGTCCAGCTACGAGTAGGTTAACTATAGACCCGATATAGTCCAGCTATTATTAACTGCACTGTTATACTGTTGCCAGTAATTTACTGTAAAAATGCACTAAAACTAATAAGTTATATTTTTTTGTTAACTTGAGTTTTAGTGCATTTTTACAGTAAATTACTGGCAACAGTGTTGCCAGTATTTTACTGTAAAAAACCTGGTAAGGTCTAACAGTGTATAGACCCGATATAGTCCAGCTATGATTAACTATAGACCCGATATAGTCCGGCTATGAGTAACTACAGACCCGATATAGTCCAGCTATGATTAACTATAGACCCGATATAGTCCGGCTATGAGTAGGTTAACTATATAGACCCGAATGTGATACGATTGTGTCGTATATTGAGTGTTTGGACACTATTAGACGTCTTTTAAACGCAAAATAGCTTACTCAGTGTCTCATCAGACGGACAGTTCTGGCATTATTGACTCCCTCTCGTTTGCTGCTAATGTTTCTATCTACCCTTCCACCGTTGATCCGATGCATCATGCGGCGGGCTTTGATTAGGTTTGATGTGTACAAAGACGCATTTAATTTCATTTAGTGACTTAGATTTCCAAAGTTTGATGAACTTGACGTTTTAAGGTGGTTTGTGACGTCAGAAACACCAGCGATTTCGTGTTTTTGAGACTGTCTTTGGTTCACTGCAGTTTTAAGGAGGAAATACTCAGCAATGCTGTCCACTTATCAACTTATCATACGGTGTGTGTGTTTGTTTTGTCCATCAGCTGTTGAGGATCACTCCAGCGGAGCGGAGCAGGGAATATGTTCTTCTGTCCTTTCAGGAACACCGGAGCTGTGAGTGCAGGTATGATCCCGGTCCACTCCTCCGGCTCTTTATCTATTCATCTAACTCACTTTTGTCTTTCAGGCCCAGACGACACCACTTGAGGAATCAACAGTGAGTATTAATTCCTTGATTTATTCTCTTGCGTCTAAATGAGACTCTGAGAATGTTGTTGTTCTCAGCAATCGGAGACGGAAGGGAAAGCCCAGGAGGAGACGGAGGGGAAGAAAACACCGGGATTGAGACGCTGCCGGTGTCAGGTGACTCTCTCACGTTCATCCGGATACAGCTGAAAACCGTGTTTATCTTTAAAAACGCCATACTAGCGTTTTCAGGCTGAGAAACGTTTGGAAAACGCCTGAAAATGCTAAATTCCCCTTCCCTGCGCATGCGGAAACCCTCACAGAAGCTCTCAGATGATGCAGACGGAAACATAATCAAGTTATCGTGCAGTTCTTCTGACAGGATCGTTTTATTTATCAGAAGCTGCAACACAGTCTCATGAAGATGCGTATCTATACCACGAGTGTCATTTCTCGTGGCATTTATACGGCAAAAGTGTTTTTTTCTTGTATATGGTACGCACTAAAAAACCCTGGGTTAGGTTTAGGGGGGAGGGGGGTGGGGAGTTCGTGCGTCTTATACGCAAAAAAGTGCGTATCATATGTACGCGAAAATCGCGTGCCAAATACACGCAAAAACTGTTTTTGGCGTATAAATGCCACGAGAAATGACATTCGTGCCATAGACACGAACTTTCATCACTGATGAAGCTCTCACTATTAAATGTTTGGTCTAAAATGCTAAAACTGCTCCTGTTTCACCGCAGCAAATGCGAGCGTATTCACAACAATGATGCGCACATATTTTGTTTATTTTATTTTTTTAAATGATCCATTTACTTTGTGTATCTGCTGCAGATGTGACGATCGCTGTGGCAAACAGGCACCTTCATTTTCCTTCATCATCGTCATCATCATCACACAAGCACTTCTGGACATTATGTGGACACAATCTATTTATGCATGTTTGGATTGCCATTAAGAAATGTGTGTTACAATAAACATAATCTGCCCATCTGAAGGAGATGACCAGAGTTCATCAGGGAATGTGAAATACTGTACTTTGGTGTCGCTCACGTCACGAGTTCAACAGCCTGCATTCTTTATAATAAAATTGTAAAAAAATAAAAAATTATTTTTAAAAAAAGCTTGAGTTAGTAAATACAGTGCATGTACGTGTCCCCATCAAATGTGTCTTAATATATTTTATAAAACAATAAAATCACAATATTTGAAGAAATATATTTCATCAGAATGCTGCGAGTGGATTTCTGTTTGTTGTGGAAAAAAAAAAGTGTGTAAATCAGAAATTATGACATCGAACATTACATGCTAAGTCATATTAATGAGATAAAAATTTGAAATTGACATATTAAATAATATTTATGAGATTAATGATGTCCCGTGTTGGTGTGAACGGGCCTTTAGTATCATAATATTATCCACACCATGATCTTCTCTTTGTCGTGAAATGTTTGTATATTTCTGCTGAACACAAAAGAATATATTTTGAAGAATGTCAGTAATCAAACCGGGGTTGGTTCCCACTGACTTCCCTGGGATTTTTCCCATGCTATGGAAGTCAATGGGGTGCATCATCTGTTTGGTAACCGGCTTTGTTCAAGTTCAGTTTTATTTAATATATAGCACATTTACAACAGCCTCTATAGGCGGACCAAAGTGCTAATTACATTGTCAAAATATCTTCCTTTGTGTTCAGTTGTAGAAGGGTTGGAACAGCTTGAGGGAAAGTAAATGATGACATACATTTTTTTAAAAATTTTGTTTATGTGGGAACTATCACTTTAAAGCCTTATTCACAGTCACACCAGCGCCATCTTTGGTTTCTACCGGGAATGAAAGCGATGCTGTGAGGGATAGACATAGACATACATTATACTGTTATTTAATCTGCTTTTGGGTTGTTCTGCTGATGAAACACTGCAAATATATATATATATATATTTTCGAGATGTCAGTAGACAAAAAACAACAACCTCCAGACAACATGAGCTGTGGAAAATTATACCTGAACTAGGATCATTATGCCGCTTTTTTACAGCGGATGCCATTGAAAACACAAATCTATCCCTCACAGCTCTGAATAAGGTCTATTAGCGTTAACTTACAACACAACTGACTCGATAATGTGTTTGAGTTTCAGCGGTTTATCATCATCAACACGCCTCTCCGCGGTCACATCATAGACAGTAAAGGGTCACATGCGACCGTGGAGAATGACGCAGGCAGCCCCGCCCACTTTATCCATAAAAGGAAAAGCCACTAAACCAAAATGGCAAAATGGGTTTTCCCCCGTGACAATCCCCGCCTTCTATGACAGGATTTGCCAATCGGGGAGATTTAGCATCTGTGATTGGCTTAGATCAGAGGTTGGCAAATGTTAGAGCAGTCAAATACATAGGGTCAAATAAAATGTAACGAACAGCGTAAATATAGCGAAATAATAAAGCACACGCGCTTTTAAGTTCAACGTACACGTAAGTTTGGTGTCAATAAAGTTTAGCGTTCCGTGTGGGCGGGGCTTGTCGGGATATGTCTCCAGTCACGTGTACAGCACCGTGTGTAGCCGTGAACGTGTTTTGCGTGACTGGAACGAACAGGGCGTCTGAGTGACCGACGTGACGCGCTCAAAACACGGCAAATCTCCATTAAACGCCGCTGATCACTGTTATAATACTTTAAAACAACCGGATTTGAGGAAACCTGCACATTATCCACATATATTTGGATTTTCGTCGTCTTTGGGGATTGATTTCGCTCTGGATGAAGGCACGGTCATCGCGATACACAAGTAAGCTGTCACGACTTTCTCCGAGAGGACGAATATTGTTCGGATATACAGTTGCGTGTTTTTCCAGAGCAACTAAACGACAATTCTTGGTTTCTATGCTTCTGGCTGCAATGCGATTTTATTCGTGTGAAAACCTGGGAAAGTTTAAATATACAACTTTTGTGAAAACGTACTAGTAGAATAAGTACAAATACGCTGAAAAATAAGCACTTTGAAAGGTAAAACGAGTAATTCTGAGGATCCAGAGTTGCTGGAGATTAATAAATATGTCAGCTCTTCACGTCATAGCTTGAGGCAATGACGTCATGACGCCGGGCTTAAAAAAATTACAATAATGGTAATAAGGGAAATAAGCCTTTTGTTTTTTATTTAAAAACAATTTTAGGTTTGAAAAAGATTTTATTATTATTATTATTAGTGCTTGTTTACTTTTCCTAATGTGCCCCTTTGCTGTACTTGTAATTCTTCATATCTATCTATCTATCTATCTATCTATCTATCTATCTATCTATCTATCTATCTATCTATCTATCTATCTATCTATCTAGGCAAGGCAAGTTTATTTATATAGCACATTTCATACACAATGGCAATTCAAAGTGCTTTACATAGAAGAAATTAAAATAATCAAAAGAAATCAGAATAATTAAAACAGAAAAATCTATAATGATTTATAATGTCATTAATAATAATACAATTTGCTTGAATACTTAAATATAATAGGTTTAACATTTGTAGATACATAATAGTATACAATATGAAGATAATGAGAGTAACAAGATTGATTTATGATTAATGTTCACATTAACAGTTCAGCTGGTGATGTCAAATTAAAACACTGGCATGCTTTTGACTTGAGTAAACGTCAATCCTGTTTGTCCCGTTAAATGGTTTGAATATGTAAACTTGAACTGTCCTTGATGATGTCATGATGTTTCAGGCTCAAACGGGGAAGAGGATGAAGGATGAAGATCGCATGAGAGCGATGGCCAAGTTTAAAAACAAAAGGATGGAGAAGTCGAAGCCGGAGTCGGAGAGGGATTCGGGATTCTCAGGTCTGTGATCGATCCAAGGATCGGATTCTACATCTTCGTCTACTTTAATCCGGATACATTTGAAAACGGCGTTTTTGTTTAAAAAAATAAAACTAAAAACTAAACTGTATTCGTGTGGACACGGCCTCAGTGTGTGTGTGTGTGTGTGTGTGTGTGTGTGTGTGCAGACGGCAGCTCTGAGCACCTGAGTGTGATCGACCGCCCCGAGGACTCCCGGCTGGTGCAGGGACTCTCGCCGATGATCATCATGAACAATGTTGTCCTGAAACAGGTGAACCTTCACACACACTCTTTCACACACGCACAGACTCTCATATGTACAGATTTTATGTACTTTTATGTCTGAAAAGTGACATTCATAACTGATATTTAATGTTTTATTTCTGCCTTTTAAAGAGATAGTTCACCCATGACTCTCCCTCGTGTTGTTCAACCCCGTCAGACTTTCCTTCATCTTCAGATATTTGTGATTAAATCTGAGAGCTGTCTCACTCCTCCATAGGCTTCTGTTGTGATTGAAACTTGCCGGAACAGAAAGTTATTAAAGACATCGTTAAAATAGTGCGAGTGACGACAGCGGCTCAACCTTAAGATTATCAAGCGGAAAGAACATTTTCTGTGCGCAAAAAACACAAAATAAGGAGTTTATTCAACTTCTCTGTGGGCCTCGAGTGAGTTCACGACACACACACACACACACACACACTGTGGGCCTCGAGTGAAGATTATGGAGTTGAACAACATGAGGGAGAGTCATCACTGACACAGTTTACATTTTGGGGTGAACGATCCCTTTAACACCACAACTACTAAATCTGTGCAATCTGCAATCATACATATGTAAACAATAACCAGTGTGTGTTATATCTGAATTGACGCAAATAACACACTAATAACATACATTGAAATAAATGACTTAAAGGAGTAGTTCACTTTAAAAAAAACTTTTGCTGATAATTTACTCGCCCCCGTGTCATCCAAGATGTCCACGTCTTTCTTTCTTCGGTCGAAAAGAAATGAAGGTTTTTGATGAAAACATTCCAGGATTTTCTCCATATAATGGACTTCAATGGGGTCCAAACGTTTCAAGCTCCAAATGAGAGTTTCAGTGCAAACTGTTCAAAGGGCTTTAAACGACTCCAGACGATGAATAAGGGTCTTATCAAGCGAAACAATCGCTCATTTAATAAATAAATAACAATGTTTAAGTTTTATAAGCTCAAATGCTCGTCTTGCTCTGTTCTGTGATGCGCGTTCGTGACTCTTTGTGCATTCAAATGAACAAATCTTTTTCCGAGTCATGACTCGAAGGGTCCTTTATAATTCCCTTATTCATCGTCTGGAATCGGTTTGAAACAGTTTGCACTGAAACTCTCATTTGGACCTTGAGCCGTTTGGTCCCCATTGAAGTCCATTATATGGAGAAAATCCTGGAATGTTTTCATCAAAAACCTTCATTTCTTTTTGACTGAAGAAAGAAAGACATGGACATCTTGGATGACACGGGGGTGAGTAAATTATCAGCTAAAGTTATTTTTAAAGTGAACGACTCCTTTAATGTCCCTGCACACGGAAGTCTTCGTATCCGTCATTCGCTGGCTCTGAGTTCTCAAAACACGTTAAAAAATAAAGACAACCTTTTTTTTTTTTTTTTTTTTTTTTTTCCAAAAAATTCAATTTAAAAATAATTTTTTTTTGGATTAATTAATTAAAAAAATATGTTCTGCGTTTTTCGCATCCGTTTCTTTTTGCCAATTCGGAGCCAGCGAACGACGGCGCGCAGAGCGTTACTGATGTGAGTGTGTGTTCTGTGTGTGTTCAGCCTGGAGAAGGCCGTGTGTGTGTGAAGCCCTGGCCCGTGGACGTGGTTCCTCAGCCTCAGGTCGTGTTCCTCCAGCCTGTGGTCCCGAACACACACACACACACCAAACACACGTCACAGCGCCGCCGGCACCGGAAGCTCCTCCCGATCCGCAAGTCGTATCCCAGAATCGCTCCTCATCCCGGAGACACTGCTCTTCAGAGCGACAGCGAGCGCTCCAGTTCCTCTCCGAGCGAGTCCGGCTCGCGTCCCGGCGCTCCTGTCCCGGAGACCCCCGCAGAGTCCGATCCGAGACCCGAGTCCACGGACGACCGTTCCCGTTCCCACACGGACAACCGGCTCAAGCGCTTCTGCAACACGTACAACATCCTGCGCTCGTCGGGTCTGCTGGACATCACGCTGCGCACCAAAGACCTGATCCGGCAGAACCGGCGCACGCAGGCCGAGCTGGACCGGCTCCGGGAACACACACGCATGTTCATGCAGGCGCTGGAGAGCGGAGACCCGGGGCTCTGGAGGAGCCTGGAGACCAGCCTGCAGGACCAGTGACGTGTGTGTGTGTGTGTGTGTGTCGAGGTCAGAGTTATGATCACTGTTAATGGACTGTATGGATGTTTCACTCGTTGAGACGCTTCTGCCTTAAACTAGATCAGTGCATAAGCTGTTTACACTCACTTCCCTCTCTCACACACACTCACACACACGTGTGTATCAAAGCAAAGGCATAAACATTAGGCCTGGTATTAACAACAGTTTTGAATCGTTCATTCAAGAGATTTGTTCAAAAACGCTGATTCATCCAGTAATGAAGCAAGTGAAGTCATTGAATCATTCACTTAAGAGATTCGTTCAGAAATGCTGTTTAATCCATTTAAAAAGTGATTTAGAGTTTTGTTCTGTGATTAGATTTGGTTCTTTGTTTGAATCAAACTCGTGATTCTCAGTCTGGCCTGATTCGTGCAGCTCTAACAGTCAGAGACGCAGTGTTGATCCTCACACACACGGACCTGATGAACGATCATGTGCTCATCGTCTGGCCTTACTCGAGGGAGCTTCAGTGGCAGCTATCACATGACCACCAGTTCATCCAATCACGGCTTGACGTCCTCCTGTGGAATACGGATCATGTTCAAACGCCGACTAAAGCATTAGCAGTAGCACAGAAAGCGTTGGGTTGTGTGACTCTTATCGCCTTGCTTTAATGGCTCTTTAAAACAATACAAAAAACATTTAGTGGTTTTGATACAGATTTATACGTGTCTTCGCTAAATCAGCACAAGCATTTCTGTGAACCGTACGAAGGCCTCAGTCCTGCCCATCATCTGCAAACCGGTTTCCTGTCTTTTGTAAATATTGTGTATAAAGATGTAATTTTATATTTTGCTTTGTTGTTCATCCACACGTTTGCAGTCTCGAGCTCAACACTACTTTCACAAACATGTGGCCTGATATTCATAATCGCTCTGAAAATCATCGTACAGGATATAAATGAACATTTCTCAGCGGGGCAAACCCAAAACTGGTCAAATGTTTGCATTTTTACTTGTGTTTTTCTAAGTTTTTTATTGTTATTTACCACTTTAAAACATGGATTACTGAATACTACACTGTCAAATGTTTTCATGGCATAAAGTTATTAAAATAATTTTAAATGTCAATTGAGTTCTTGGATTGCATTACTCATGTACACCTATTTTAAAAATATATATATTGTTATATAACTGATAAACTTTGTTCTCGTTATATTAAAAACATACTGGCTTTGAGAAAGAATCGATTCAAAAGATTCGGAGAAGCAGGCGTCGTCTGACTGACTCATTTGAACCGATTCTTTTAGTGTCGCTCACTGAAATGCAGCTCTTCGTTTGCTAAAGTAAAGCAGGCTTCCCATCATATCACTAGTTTCCATTATAATATTCAACATAATCAGTTCGCAGATCATTAGTTTTTCACCCAGAAGTACATCTGTCCAGTCCGTGTGTGACCCGGAAGTGCACGCGATCTGTCTTTGTGTTTGTGTTTTGCTTCTGCTTCTCTCTGTCAGACATCAGCGGCGATGAAGGTTAAGAGACTTTATAAAGATAAATGTATATCATAGTCATATATCAGGTATGTTATCTTATTTTATAAAAGCGAGCAGAATGCTGTGATTTAAGTGTTCTTGCTAGCGGTGGCTTATACTGTGCTTTATTAATGACATGCTTCATATTTTATAACACTTTTATCATTAATAATATTGCATATCTATATAAACAGTATGAATCGAGGTTGATTGAGCCTTGAGGAAGCTTTAAAAGCATGTCAACTTGATATTCATTCATTCAGTTATTCATTCGTACCTAGTTTAAATGATATGATATATTTATTTGGTAAATATGTGAGTAATGTATTCAGCATAATTCATGTTTCATATTTTAAATGTGCTGCTGTGTGTTTTATTAATGCAGATGATGGACGAAAACTTCTCTCTCTGACGCCTGAACCTGGTTAGTTTCACTTAGTAATCGATAATACCTTTGACCTGTTAACTGTGAAAATCTAAATGCCTGTTTTATTTTGTATAAAGTAAATATTATAGAAAATAATTTGGAGTTTAAAATTACAATAAAACTAAAGCCGTTGTCATAAATCCGATAAATCCATAGAAGGAATCGGGTCTTCTTTAGGACCCACGCGGTAATGCCTGATCAAAAGTTAGCATAATGCCTTGATTAATTATAACTTATTTAACTATTATATGACGTTTATTACATTAAGTGCATTAACAACATGCTTTAAATCTAAAATTAATGTCTATTGCATAATAAAACAAACTGGAAATAAAACCATGCCAAATAAAGTTTTTTTTTTCTTTAATATAATATTTGTTGACATACATTCTGTAAAAGTAATTTAATGTTAATGTTACACAATAATAGTGATGTGGTACACTATATAATAATACTATAATACATTTTCAATAAATTAATCTCACATAAACGTAATTAATTTGAAACATGTATTTGGGAACTATTTTTATATAAGCTAGGTTAGCACGCAGGCTAATCGGCTAGATGTATGCTATGCTAGTACGTAAGCTAACTAAATAAACAGTAAGAACCAGAAATGCGTGGTTTCACAACCTATAGCTTCAGTGACAGTATATGAACCATGTCATTTAAAAGACATTAATTATAGAACACATTCTAAACCATATGAAACAAAACATTTGGGTCTTAAAGGAGACCCGATTCCTTGGGGGGACTCGATTTCTCAACATGTTTAACAAAGTTGTGTTCCGAATTTAAAGTTGATATCACTAAAATAGTTTGAATTATGAGTGTTTAAGCTTTCATGATACCTCACTGATGATGATTAAAGGCAATAAAAAGATAAGAAAAGCAGATATTGATGATGTCATCATATGTTTCTGTTGACAGATCACATTACTCTGAATCCATGCTTTCTGATGAACTTGACTCCAAACCTGAGGTATTACTGTCTGAGACGATTACAGATATTATATTATTGATAATATTAATGGTTATTTGTGTTATACATAGAGCCTAAAACTATATTTTTGCCTGTGACTTAAGAAAATGTACGTATGAAACTGATTTAGGAAAAACAGGCAAAATTTCAATTTCGATACAACTACTAGCCAAACTAATATAAATTTGAAACATAATTAAAGACAAGTAAACAGTCAGTAATAAAATATTGCTGTTGTTATTATTAGTGTTATTAATATTAAATTGGTTTTGTTGTAACTGTGTGTTGTTCTTGTGGCAACTGAATAGAGAAGTGTGCAAGTATTGGTATAAGTCCCTGTGTGTGATGATGATTGACGCCTGTGTGTGTGTGTGTGTGTGTGTGTTCGTGTGCAGCTGTTGGTCGAGTTTGTGCAGAACGCATCGATCCCGCTGGGCCAGAGTCTGGAGGAGTCGGACCTCAAGCCCTCATGTGTCCCGTTGCTGTCGCCCACACACACCTCCTCCACACACACCTCCTCCACACACACCTCCTCATGCGGCCCACTGGACCTGCCAGGTGAAGCTCACAGATCAGCACCAGCCGTTATCTAAAATAGGCGAAACTAAAAGCTTATATGTAGATATTGCATCCGGAAAGTATTCACAGCGCTTCACTTTTTCCACATTTTATAAAGTTAAAGCCTTATTATGTAAAGCCATATACTGTATGTTGCAAAATGGATTAAATTCATTATTTTACTCAAAATTCTACAAAAACAAAACCCCATAATGACAACGTGTAAGACGTTTGTTTAAAATCTGTCTGTATAAGGTCCCCCATAGTTAATAAACTGTGATAATGTGAGAAATGTTGAAGGATTCTGAATAAATTTTGGTTTGACTGTATATGTGATGTGTGTGTGTGTGTGATGTGTGTGTGTGTGTGTTTCAGAGAGCGCTCTTAGCCATGCCAGGTCCCCAGCGCTGTCAGAGTTCGGGCCCGAGCGAAGCCCGCTGGTGGTTCATCTGCATCGGCCGTCTCCCTCGCCTCCATCACACGCACACACACACACACCCACAATCCTCCAGGACCTGCAGAACCACGACAGCACGTCCTACGTCCTGCTCAACCTGGCCAAAGGTCCGATTAGTGACCCATCACTCCATCACACACAGACTGCACAACTGATACACTGCAAAAGAAATAATAAATCAAGATGGATTTATTAAAATAGTCAAATCCTACAAGATTATGTCTTGTTTTCTGGGTGGAAAATTTAAATTAAGTTAGTTTTTTCTTAAAACAAGCAACATTTTCTGCCAATGGTGAAAGAAAAATAATCAAAAACTCTCTCTGTGCTGTAGGGTTGTCGTCGTCGGCCGAGCCGCTGGTGTTTGTTCAGGGCGACGTGGACGAGGCGCAGGAGGAGATCTCTTCGGGTGACGGTGTCGATGCCGGCGCTCCATGGTACCTGCGGGTCCAAGAACTCGCTCACGATAGCCTGATCGCCGCCACACGCGCACAGCTAGCCAAAGAAGCCCGAGCTGGTGGGAACGGTACTCGCACTCACTCACTCGCTCGCTCACTCACTCATTCACTCACTCACACACTCACTCATTCACTCACTCACACACTCACTCATTCACTCACTCGCTCACTCAATCACTCACTGACTCACTCACTCACTCACTCATTCACTCACACACTCACACGCTCGCTCGCTCACTCACTCACACACTCACTTACTCACTCACACACACACTCACTTACTCAGTCACTCACTCACTCGCTCACTCACTCACTCAATCACACACTCACTCATTCACTCACTCGCTCGCTCACTCACTCACTCACTCACTCAATCACTCACACACTCACTCATTCACTCACTCGCTCACTCAATCACTCACTGACTCACTCACTCACTCACTCACTCACTCACACACTCATTCACTCACTCGCTCGCTCGCTCACTCACTCACTCACTCAATCACTCACACACTCACTCATTCACTCACTCGCTCACTCACTCACTCATTCACTCATTCACACACTCGCTCACTCACTCAATCACTCACACACTCACTCATTCACTCACTCGCTCACTCACTCACTCATTCACTCATTCACACACTCGCTCACTCACTCATTCACTCACACACTCACTCATTCACTCACTCGCTCGCTCACTCACTCACTCACACACTTACTCACACACACACACTCACTCGCTCACTCACTCACTCAATCACTCACTCACTCACTCACTCACTCACACACACACGCTCACTCACTCAATCACTCACTCACTCACACACACACGCTCACTCACTCACTCGCTCGCTCACTCACTCACTCAATCACTCACTCACACACTCACTCGCTCGCTCGCTCACTCACTCAATCACTCACTCACTCACTCACTCACTCACACACACACGCTCACTCACTCAATCACTCACTCACACACACACGCTCACTCACTCACTCGCTCGCTCACTCACTCACTCAATCACTCACACACTCACACACACGCTCACTCACTCACTCACTCACACACACACGCTCACTCACTCACTCGCTCGCTCACTCACTCACACACTCACTCACACACACTCACTCACTCGCTTGCTCGCTCACTCACTCACACACTCACTCACTCACTCACTCACTCACACACACTCACACGCTCACTCACTCACTCACACACTTACTCAGTCACTCACTCACACACACACTCGCTCACTCACTCAATCACTCACACACTCAATCACTCACTCAATCACTCACACACACACACACGCTCACTCACTCACTCGCTCGCTCACTCACTCACTCAATCACTCACACACTCACACACACGCTCACTCACTCACTCACTCACACACACACGCTCACTCACTCACTCGCTCGCTCACTCACTCACTCACACACTCACTCACACACACTCACTCACTCGCTTGCTCGCTCACTCACTCACACACTCACTCACTCACTCACTCACTCACACACACTCACACGCTCACTCACTCACTCACACACTTACGCAGTCACTCACTCACACACACACTCGCTCACTCACTCAATCACTCACACACTCGATCACTCACTCACACACTCAATCACTCACTCATTCACTCACTCGCTCGCTCACTCACTCACTCACACACTCACTCACACGCTCGCTCGCTCACTCACTCACACA